CTCCCTCCTCTCTCTCTCCTCCTCTCTCTCTCTCCCCTACCTTCCCTTTTTACCCCCCCCTTTTTCTGTGCAAGAAATTTTCAATTTAGACGACGCGCGCGTCAATCTGCCTGAACAGTTTTTCTCGATTGCACGCTATGAAAAGGACAAAAAAGAAGCAGAGGGAAGGAAAAAGACGAGTGACGCTTGGGCCGGCGGCTCTCCGCGCCGCTGCGCCAACTCTCGCTGCTGGGCGCCTCCGGCCGCCTGCTCTGCTCTGCGCCCCGCACCGTGGTGCATCCGCCAAGGTCACGATCATCGACCACAAAAGTTCTAAAGGAAAAAGTGACTGTATCGTCAGTTTGTGTTTTGCGGTTGTACGCGAAACCATTATTGACAATTGTCTAGGATGTAAATAATTCTCGTCTACACCCCACATGACGCCAAGGGACGTGCTTTGTCTTGTCATTTAGGGTGTAACTTGCATTTTTGAGACAGACTTTTTATAAATCGATTCGTGTTTATGGGATGTATATATAATTGGCAATGCGGACGCTCGTTGTGCATACGTGGAGTGCCCCTGCATCATTCTGTGTCGTCAGAGGTCAGGACAGTCGTCGCGCGACCCAATTCTTCACTCAAGTAAGTCCTCGGAGGGAGCGTGCTGCACCAAGTGCTGCATATGCACTTGGGCCTCCCCGGGGGCCACAGCTGCTGCAGCACCTGGGACAGACGCGCGAGGCGTGAAACAGCATTGTACACCACCATTACCCACCTCGTTTGTCCGTTGGCCACGCTTTCCACGCGACACCCGGCCCGCGGCGCGCGGCGCGGGGCCCGCGAGAAGGTGGGGACACTCAGGCGGGGCGCGTGCAGCCTGCGCAACACGCCTAATGACGGAGACCCTTTGGGGCTGCCGGCTGGCCCACCCCACGGAGCACCCTGGCACCAAATAGTCAGGGGACCGAGGGGGCAATCTGGTGCACCTATCCTGACAATCTGCGATAATCTTCGGCAATCTATTGGCAATCCGACCCAGAAGCCATTCTTTTTGCGTACATTCAGGGCGCAAAGTAGTGCATTTTGCCTAGTTACAAGCGTTTTGTGGCCCTGAAGCAAAATATTCGTCTAGTAATCTTAGCAATCTGGTGTGTACAGGGGCAGCCGACCTGCGGGGCGGGGCCAGCCAGCGCAGGAGCAGGAGCTCGCCGGCGGGGCTGGGCTCCGGCCAAGCGGGTCATCTGCTGTTTGTATCGGGGAGGAAGATTGGCTCCCGTCCTCGCGGACCTAGTTCCATTCTCCCCCCCCCCCCCACCCGCGGCGGTCGTTTTGAGCAAAGAGTAGCGCGGAAAAAAAAGTTATGAAAATCTGGGGTGG